TTTGAACACCTCTGATTGTACAGCGACCTTTAAAAATTAGCCAACAATGAATTATATACATATTAATGAATTTTATTGGCAACAGTATTTATTTATTTATTTTTTTTGTTCATTTTTTCACAATGCTTTCACTTATACTTACATGTATATTATATAGTGACATTTAAAGACTGTATGAAATAAAAGTATATGTTATATGAAAACATCATCATTTTATATCGGAAATATAAATAATGAATAAATTAATTTAGTCGAGAATTCCAAACGTATTCAAACGAAATTCTCATATTGTAAACAAACGACTTTATGTCTTTATTCAAGGTAAAGAGAATAAAAATTTTTTCACTTGGAAAAATCTTACATAAATAAAATTATTGACATTTACTATTTTAGATTCAAAGGAAAGCGATGCATGTATAGATCTTACAATGAAGTGAGTTTTTTCTGTTCGTGTATTGCGTAGGATATGTAAACGTTTTATATAGTAGAAAAAAGCATTAATCTTAAACTTTGAAGGTGGTATCTGATACAAAATCGATCTAATTGGTAGGTACCTACTTTTCGGAGATCAAAGTTGAACATACCCGGTTCTTTTCAAAATATTCGAGAAAAACAATAAACGATTCGAGTAAGTGGTTAAACACTTTGAACATTAGATGTCTAGATATTTGAATTAATGGATGTGTTAAAATTGAATTCAATGATATTATAAAATCATTGTATACGAAAAACGATTCTGAGCGAAGACGGTCTGTCAGCCGTTGCCCGTTAATATTGCTAAGTATATTTTATGATATTATTGTGTTTAAATTAATTCATTTTACCATTAGTACTACAGTACCTACTGCCTACCTAGGTTAAATTTATTTTTTTCCGAACAAACTGCATTTATTTTGAAAATGTCATTATGGGTATAAAATATAATAGTATACTCAAAAAGTTTCAAGTACCCAAGAATAATATTTTGAAATTACAACAAAATAACTAAAATCATTATTCTTGGTAGAAATGTAAGCTCGGTAAATTTACCAATTATTTTTTTACAGGTAAATGTGGCACCTCAAATTAAACGGCTTTAAGGGGCCAATATTCATCAGTCATAACATTTTAATAAAATGGAATAGTTTAAATTATAAAATGTAAAACGTCCACAACCACTGATAGTGTAGTACCTATAATACTTAACATTAAGCATACGAATACACCATAAGAATATCTGAAACGATCATTGGAGCAAGTAGAGGGGGTGCTTTGGGTCCTTAGCAGTTAGCACCCCTAAGTCAAAATTAGCACCTTCTAAGAAATCGTTAGGTGTTAAGTCTCACTGAATCACAAAAAAACCTGGAGCTTAGCACCCCCTAGTTCAAATGTCTAGTTGCGTCAGTGGATACGATAAATTATTATCGCAATTAATATAAATTTAATTTTACACAGATATAGATAATAAACCACGTTTAAAATATTGGTAATGTTAAACTTTTCAAGGCTTTAGGGCACCGCGGTTAAACTTCTCTGATTATTTTCAAATGTTCTATACATAATTTTTAACACATATATTAGAACCAGAAGTCCAGAACCTCAGTCACTAAATTTAAATATATTATGTTGTAATACCATATTACAAACGTAGGTAAAATGACTTTATAGAGGTTTGGTTTACAAAATTAAAAAAGGTGTACAGTAGGTTACAAGAAGGTCTCTGTATAATGGATAATATTAAATTTGAATTCAATGATATAATATCATTGTATAAGAAAAACGATTCTGAGCGGAGACGGTATGTCAGTCTAGGTATAAGGTATATTATATACTTATCTATAGTATTAAAAAAATTGACCTATTATAGGTACCTATAAATAAATTCCAAATTAATCATATCACAATATCCATTAGGTACTTATAACGCGTTATACCTACATCAATAACAAACCCTGATACTATCATAGATATATAATAGTGTACTTTAGAGTTTAGACATTTCAAGTACCCACGAATAATATATTATCAAAATAATAGTTATAATATTTAGTTATATCGTTGTTATAATCACAACGAATAACTAAAATAGTTCTTCTAGGTTTTTTTTATGTAATTTCATTAAAATTTGAACTTAAAATGACTGTAAAAATAAACTGTACGTATGTATTTTTTAGATTTTTTGGTAACAGACTTAACTACATACGTGGAATCTTGTTTTAAATTTTAAATTCTTAGATATAAAAATTGAACATTTTATAATTTATTAATTACAATGATTGATAATTTTCGAGATTTTGAAAATTCTGTCATATTTTAATATTTTTCAACTGATATTGTAAATTCTTAGATATAAAAGTTGAACATTTTATAAATTTTTAATTACAAAATAATTATTCAATTTAAATTTGAATAAATGTTGTCAAAATTCGATCTTTAAATGTTTATAAAAAAAAATTGTTTCTATGTATTTTTAATATTTTTCAACTGATATTGTAACAATATATCAGGAGCCTTGTATTAAATTTTTACACTTTTTGGCCCAACCGATAAAACTTAATTGATATTTATAGAAAAAAATAAAAAAATATTGAAAACCTGAAAATGTCCGTAAACAGCTCAAAAAGAGTCAAAATATTTTCAAATTGTATGGTGTATAGGAAATTCTAATATAAATATTCAGTGAACTTTTTCATGTATCTACCGTTATTCGTTTTTGAATTACAATCAATAAGGAAATCGCTACATTAGAAATCGAGGTGAATATTCAATGTAGTAAAAAATTTTGAATTTCAAACGCTTTTAAAAAATTTAATTTGACTTCTTATAACATTTAGTTTTTGATAAGGTAAAATAATCTTATACGGAATCTTGTTATTACATTTTACACATTAGATTTAAAAGAAAAATTTTCACGAATTCTTAACTCGAAATAATTTGCTAATTTTTCGTGATTTTTCCATATTTTGTCAATTTTTGAACTTAAATGCTTATAAAAAAAAACTGTGACTAACGATTTTTAATATATTTCATCTGCCTTTGAAACAATATAGTAGGAGCCTTGTATTAATTTTTCAAGTATTTTTACTCAACAAATAAATTTTTGAATGATATTCTAAAAAAAAAAAACTAATCAAATTGGCAACTGAAAATGTCCCTAAAACAGGTCAAATAAATCAACATATTTTGAAAATATTATCGTGTATAAAAAATGCAAATATAAGCAACCAGTGAAAATTTCATGTATTTACGGTCATTTGTTTTAAGGTTACACCAAAAACCAAAATCGATTTTCTCGAAAACAGATTTTGCTTAAAAATTCCTGTTTTTCCTTAATTTTTCTTTTGTTTTTTTAAGGCGCTTTTGAAAACTATTGTGAAATTTTTACTTTTGACCCCCCAAAGTACCACTAGATTCACTTTCCTATCAGAAAAGCTACTGTTGAAGAAAATCCAAGCACTTTTACTGTCCTAAAACTATTACAATAATTAAATATTAATTAATATATAGGTACATATAATAAATAGTAAATACAATGTATCCAGAAAAAATGTATTTATTCTACCGTATCATATTTATAGTAAAATCAATCTCCATAAGAGCAGTATAAATAAATCATAAAATATACATTTACTTACTATTATTAGTAATACAAGTAGGCTGGCAGACCGTCATCGCTCAGAATCATTTTATCGTGTGCAATGATTTATCATTGAATTCAAATTTGAGTTTAACACATACATTACAGTGCCTTACTCAACGACTAAGTACATTCGACAATAGCTACTGTAACCACTGCACTACTGTAACTTCCCCCCCTTTTTTTAAAATTATTATTATAGATTTTGATGTCAGCGTTTAAACTTTTAAACATTAAATTACACACAATATTTTATACCCAACATTATCAATAATTATGATGTATTGTATTTTATTATTATTTCCATTTATCTAAATTAATCAGTAAATACTAAACTAATAGTTTAATAAAACAATATGAATTCAATATATAGACCAACTAATTATATCATACAACATACTCTTCAAATAAAACGAGTTTCATAGGTAGAATGATAATACCATATTATCATTCTATATCAATTAGTTAACTATATTTTAGTATATTCCGCTATATTATCCAAACTATAGAATCATATTACTATATTAGCTAGTTTATTATAATATTCATAATCGGCATTATTATGTTATAATTAAAAATAAATATAAATTAAACTACCTACTAGCTACATAAATTATTCTTATGTGGGTATTTGAGATTATTTATATAATTATATATATATATATATATATACTTATAACTTGATTACAATTTAATTGATACAATAATAAACAGTTAATGCTTAAGTATAAATATTTTTAATTATAACTTATATTTTAAATGTTAGAAAAACTATTATAATATAGTTGCATGGCACACATTTTTTTCTTTATTAGATAGCGTAAGAATTCCTCTACTAAATGTATATAATAATTAAATAATATATTGTTAAATACCAATATGAACTGGTTTAAATATAATTAAAGTATTTGAGTTCAACTTTCTAAATATCCGTTAACTTTGTTAATATTTCGAGTATAAAACCATGATCAAAGTTCAGTTTTATATGATGCTCGGGCTTCATTCAATCCAGACAACAGTGGCAAACTATTCCAAAATTCGTATTCATCAACATACGGCCTCTCTTTAATTAAAGGAATACTTGTATTAATCAAAACAAATTCATATTTTTTGGTGTTAAATTTCGGCCATTTTTTTCCCTTTTTGGTACCATCAATTGTGATTGCACTAAACAAAAATATTAAAGTTTTATTAAATGTATTTAATTGTGTAAACTTATAACTAAATAATCATGGTAACGTACTCGGTAATTGCGAAATTTGTCCATATGTTCACCATTAGATTTGATACACTGAGGTCCTCTCCCTGTAGGTCGCCACGTTCAGTCGTATAAAATAAACTGGTTACTTCGTCAGCGTGCGTTACCCCTAATTTTTTTGGAAATGGATATGGTCCATATACCGAATTAAACGATATATAGTTCAAATGATCGTAAATGTAATAATACACCGGTCGTGATAGCTCGATTGCCATTTTTAAGATACCTTGTATAAATAAACCACCAGAAATCATCTATAAACAATACAAATTAAATATTCAAATAATTGCCATTGTAATATTTTTCTTTTAACAAAATTATTTAAATCATAGCTGTTATTTTAAAAATATCACTATAAAATATTATATGTTTTGTAAAATATAAGTGAGAAGACCGTCAGAAGCCATTACAATATAAAATATAATATACATTATACCTACATATTATATTCAATTTCAAACTATATGATTGTTTCCTACAGAATAGGTAAAAATTAACATAATATTTAAATAGTTAATACATACCTACCTTTAAAATTCTATTAAAACTAACTAGTACATTAAACCTATCATTGTTCATTAATCATAAATATAAAATAGTTTTTGAAAACATTTTGTTACTTGACAGAAGACTAAAACATACTTTAACAGCGTCCAATGGATTATTCAAAGTACCGTCGGGGAAATATCGTTCATATATCTTGTCTCCAATTATTGGAATATCTGAATACTTTGTCGTATATCTATACTCTAAAAATGACGATACGTAATGATCAAAATCATCTTTCAGCTCAGTATACACAAGACCAGTTGCGTTGTACATTTCTATTTAAAAAAACAAACAAAAATTTATAACCTTCATGCATCTTTAAACAAATTGTAATTACAATTCCTCAATTTATTCAAATTTATTCAATTTTCAAACATCACATATAATTCAACGTTATAAATTATTAATAATAAAATAAGTAATATCTTTCAGCCGATTCCTATCAGTGATGAACATTTAAAAACCCATGATGCAAAACATAATATTCGGTATTCTTTACCCACAACGAATAATTCACAAAGACCCTCGCGATATTCAAACAATTTTAAGACAACGATAAAAACTGATAAAATACTATCATTTAATTAGTTTTTAGTTTACATAATCCACCCACCTACTCAAATGACGGGTTAGGCCTTTTTCTGAGCAACACTGTTCTTACCTACCGGCTATACCAACAGTTGCAAGTAGAATATAAACGTAATCACTTACTAGAGGCAAAAAGACCACCCTCTCCAGAGTTCATTCCCATTAAAACTGGAACTTTTGATATTTGTTTAAAGTCCAGTAAAGGATATTTACATAAAAACGATTCTTTTTTTTTATTACAGTTTTCAGCAACAGGCATGAAATTAATTATTGGATAAATTCTCCATTCCTGTAAAAATAGATAAAATAGAATAAATAACATCATATAATTTTTCATAGGTTGACCTCCACTTCCCTCAACTAGAATTTAGAGTTAATGTGAGGTTTATGCAGTAGTTACCGCAAGGCACCAAGGTGGATGACCCAGGAAATGTTGAGTCATTATTTAAATATTTAATTAGTTAAATAAATAAAAGTATAGAAAAAATATTAAGTACAATCTGTGATGGACACAGTTTTGAATTAAGTATTTAATTATTTGGAAAAAGTCTTTGCACAGATTAGTAGATATGTATTTGGAATGCTATAAATTTTTCAATGTTCAAAAATTATATACTTACAAATAAACTGTTATATAAGTTCACTAAAACTTTCGCAGGTACTTCTTTTAAACATTTAACCATTTGTCTTGGTTCTTCGGGGCACCCAGCAATAGTCGAAATAGCAGAAGCTCTTCGTTGGGCCCATCCTGGTGGAGATACACCCCAAAGGTTTAATGGCGTTGCACTTTCCATGATTGCTTTGTGGAACAAACCTATTATAATTCAAAACATTTATAATTTAGAAGAAATTGTATTTGATCTTTTAATACACTTGTATAATTTACCTTTGCTCATTGGTGATAACAAATGTAAACCAACGGAAGCACTTCCTGCACTTTGTCCAAATAATGTAACTTTTTTTCGATTTCCACCAAATTTATCAATATTTTTTTTTACCCATTGTAGTGCTAAAACTTGGTCTTTCATACCATAATTACCCGGCAAGTCATCGTTTTCAGTACTTATAAAACCTAAAAAATATTAATAAGAAATCAATTAAAAATATAATAAATAAATAGTTACTGAACATAATACTTAAATAAATAAAATACCTAGAATTCCCAGTCTGTAATTCATGGTAACTAGAACTATATCTTTGTCTAACAAATATTGAGGACCATATAAACTTAAACCTCCCGAACCCGAAAAATAACCTCCACCGGCAATCCAAAACATGACTGGAAGTAATTTTCTATCACCCTTTTTTGGTATCTATATACAATATACATTATAATAAAATATAATATAATAATATTATTATTAAACAGTACTTTTTATAAAAATTTTTGAGATTAAAAGTGTAATGTATTTTATACTATTTGATTACTTTTGGAGTGTACACATTGAGATATAGACAGTCTTCTGAACCGACAAGGATATCCGCTTGTTGATAGTAAAACAAGTTCCTCTGAATACACACTTGTGGCTCGGTAGTAGCATTTAAAATACCTATCCACGGATCTGCTGGTACTGGATCCTAATAACAATAATCTGAATTGCATTTAAGGACATTTTGATACGGTAAATTATAAGGAGTTTAGTATAGGCAATACGTGTGTAAAAGTTTCACTGTTTATACGATCATTAGTGAATGTTTTTTATTGATTCTTCTGATTTTAGATAGATTTTATCAATGTTTGGTGACTACTGATTCAGCACTTTGTTTATAGTTTATACACTCGCACATAACCGTACAGCCACTTAACACGAATGATAGGTGTCTACATTTTTACTCTCCTTGTTTACGAAATAAAATATTATTTGTATGTTTTACCTTAAACCTAAGATCCCCGGTAGGTGGTTTGGCGTAGGGTATTCCCTGAAAAGCTTTGAATTCTCGTCCATTTCTTGTTTTCAAACTACTACCAGTCAACTTTCCTTGATTTAATTGTAACACTTCATCCGCACCAAATACGAAACCGGAAAGTAACATACAAATAACTAATATCTCCTCCATGTTTATCTGAAATAAAAATATTTATTTTAAGAAGTAAGAAAATATTGAAGAGGTATAATCGTTTGTTGATAACAGAGCATTCATGTTTAATAACCACGACTTTAGGTGTCAATTGTTATTTTTTATTATAAAAATGTTATTTAAAATAACATAAGCGGTTTCAAACTTTTTTGGCAAGTTGTATACAGTGCTGTATGGATATTAAATGTGAAGACTGAAGATATGTATTCACTAAAAAAAAAAATCGTGTTATACAAATAACCAAAACTTAGTTAAGAGTTTAACATTTTATTGTATCTTAATCACACCTAAAATTAAATTTATAAATATGATAGTAAAATTGTATTAATTCGTGTTGTATTAAGTATAACGATTGTGTATAGATTGTATAATAATATAATATACAATATACTATACAAATTATTGGTACAAATTGTATTTGTATAGGTACTTAATATAATAAAAAAAAATGTCTTCAAAATAACACATTAATAATGAAACAAATAATGCGAATCTGTATCAAACACTATTATTTTGAGTGCCTACATGTCTATTATAATATGCCTATTGCCTACCTATATCATATTTCATATAGCCTTAAGATTCTGAACGAAACGAGGAAATATTGGATTTAGTGTTTTTTTTTTTTAAATTTGCTTAAATATTCAATATTTCTATATGTTTCTGGAAGAGAATTAGATGTACCTGCTATCTTAGGGGGTCCCCAGTATTTCTTGTAGGTACTTTTGTTAATAATAATTGAAGAAACTAAGAAAAATAGCAAGAAAACGATAAATTAAATTTATTATTTGTTAGCTTAAAGTACTTAATACGTATTGCACGGTGCAACGTAGTCACCGTCTTACCGGCAAAATATAGAATGACCTATAAGTTATAACAGAATTACAGAATGCGACTTTAGTTTTCATATTAATAAAAAATATAAAAGAAATATCATCAGTTAATCTATTTGAGCAAATAATAATTGTTGATATTAGTTTATAATTTAAATATATTATATGTATTAAATAATGCGTAAAATACTAAAAAATTCATTATAAACATTATAATGATTAGATTATTACGTCATTGCATTCATTTTGTACAAATTAAAATTTATAACCAAATGCTGCAGTGCATCATGACAATCCAAATTCACATTGTGGAAACAAGTAAAAATTATAATCACTTTTTATACCAAATTTATTGTATACCTAGAGTTATAGTAAAACTTAACATTAAGTCTCTAACAAGCATCAATACCTACATATTTTAAAGACGGACAATCTTAAAGAGACCATACATAATATATAAGCCTAGTCATTAACAAATAATAAGTATTAACAAGTAAGAATACAATTTAACACGTAATATAACGCTCCTATCAACATGCAAAATAGAAACTTAAAACTTACTTCAATGAATATGACTTGGGATCAGTATTAGCATTGACAAAGCATATTCTACGGAACAAAAAAATAACACAATATACGAGTACTAGGCTTGAAAAAGACGTTGTCAATTCAATAAATTATTCAAAGTATTTATAAAATGTAATTAATATACCCAAAATTTGGTACATGTACTGGTGTACAATAAAAATAACGGTGGATGCAACATTTATATTCAAATTAAACCAAATATGAGTACTATAGTAAGAAATATTGATAATATATAGTCCCATATTGTAGTAGTCAGCAATCAACGGTAGATATCATAATATTGATTGCAATATTGTTAAATCAGGTCAAGTTTTTTTAATCGTTAAAAAACGAAATCTATCATAATAATTTTACCAAAATTAGGGTTAAAAGTTAAATGATAAAAATAATAAATATAAATAATTACTGGTCAAAAATGCTTAATTAAGTTTATACATTTTATTGGACTTCTATATGAATAAATAACAATTTCGATAAAACTCTTTAATCTATACCCGAATATTATGTTGTAATACCATATTACAAATGTAGGTACAATGACTTTATACAGGTTTGCTTTACAAATTAAAAAAAAGGTGCTCTGCTGTACAGTAGGTTACAAGTGGGTCACTGTATAATGGATAGTATTTAATTTGAATTCAATGATACAATATCATTGTGTAAGAAAAACGATTCTGAGCCGAGACGGTATGTCAGTCTAGGTATAAGACATATTATATACTTATCTATGGTATTAAAAAAAATTAACCTATAATAAATTCCAAATTAATCATATCACAATATCCATTAGGTACTTATAACGAGTTATACATCAACAACAAACCCTGATACTATCATAGATATATTATAATAGTGTACTTTAGAAGTTTCAAGTACCCACGAATAATATTATACAATCACAACAAAATAACTAAAATAGTTATTCTAGGTTTTTTATTATGTAATTTCGTCCAAATTTGAACTTAAAATGACTATAAAAATAAACTGTGCTTATATATTTTTTTGGTAACAGAATTAACTACTTACATGGAATCTTGATTTAAATTTTCAATCCTTAGATATTTATAGAAAAAAAAACTGAAACAAAGTAGAAAATGAAAATGTCCCTAAACAGTTCAAAAGAAATCAAAATATTTTGAAAATGTTATCGTGTATATAAAATGCAAATACCTATAAACAACCAGTGAAAATTTCATCTATCTACTGTCATTTATTTTAAAAGTACACCAAAAACAAAATTTAATTTTGTGAAAATCGATTTTGCGTAAAAATTCCTTTTTTTCCTTAATTTTTATTTTGTTTTTCTTATCGCTTTTGAAAATTACTGGGAATTTTTAATTTTGTCCTCCCCAATGCACTATCTATATTCACTTTCCAATCGAACAAGGAACTTAAGTTGAAAATCGAAATATTATTTCGACTACTTATCGTGTTCATAGACACAAAGAAAAAAAATAAATAAAAAAAAAAACACACATCATTGTAAAATCAATACATTCATCGTTCCACTCAGAATCTAAAATTAAAATATCGAAAAAACCAAAGTACCTATAGCGTAATATTACATAGAAAGGAAAACGGGTGAATTGAAAAAATAACAAAAACGAATAAATGAAAGAAACATATCACTTTTATTATTATTATTTATTTTTAAATTTAAAAAACATTATGACCTATCTATTTTGAAACAAAAACACAGTTTTTAACTTTAAAATCTTTTGTTTGCATAATATATAGACAGTTTTATGTCTGTATAAATTGAGGAGGAAAATTGAATTAATGCTATTAAAATAAATAATAATTCAGAACCAATTCGGATATAGGTACCCTTCGTAACAACCCTAGAACCAATTCGGACGTTTCGGAATAAATTATTAAGTGCTTAAATCGAATGAAGAATAAACAAACTTATGAATTATGTACTTACTTATTTTTAATTAAACATACTTTCTAAAAATTATACTACTGTAGTTATAGAAAAAATATATTTATTCATTTATTTTTTACAAGGCAAACTTCTACACTTAAAATGTACACGTCACTGCCCATCCATAGTAAAATGTTTAAAATTTAAACTTTTTTACCATCCACATATTTTTTTTGTAATTCATCAAATTATAATAAAAATATTAAATAGCATAGGTATTATAGTTTTTATATTTTTGCGTATATATAAGTTAAAAGTTTATATATTATTATGCATGTATATAAATATTTATTGACAATAATAAATATTATGACTGAATAATACGACATATTGCCGATGACACATTATCAATGTTGCAGGTTAGTTAAGGAAATACGTAATGCAAATTACAAATCACTGTAACGAAATTACTTTTTCAGTAACACTGTAGTAATTTCATTTTTTTTTTTATTTAAATTAACACAATTGTAACGAAATTTCTTTTTAAAAGTTATTTCTATAGAGTAACGCATTATTTTCGAAGTTATTAAAACAATGACAGTAATATGACAATAAGTCATAACCTAGATTCTAAGGTACTCGAAAAAAAGTTAATTTAATTTAATTTACTAGTAAATATATTTACAATATTATTAAAGATTGGAAAATAAAAGAGTTAAGATTCAAAGACAAAATTCAATTCAAATTAATTATGACTTATCATTAAACCAAAGTCTAAAATAATAATTAATATTATTATTTGACGTTTATTATGAATGTTCGTCCTAGGTACCTCAATGTTAAACGGTTATACTTCATCCAATCACCAGATAAGCCGTAAAATTTGTTCATGTATAACATATTTTACTCATTAACAATGTAACTATACTCGGGCTATACATCAACAATCCTATACCATTAATTATTATAGTTATTAATATTATTACTACTTATTATTCGTTATGGACTGATTTCGTAATTCATTTAAAAAAAAAGTAACTGGCCCTCATTGACCAAAAATAACCCCTTCGAGGTCCGCAAGTGTCCGCCATCTTGGATTTTAGGTGAAATTGTTTTTTAAGGTTTTATTAACAAGATCTTTACAATTATTAACTTTTACGATAAAAAAAAGCTTACATACAAATTGAAGATCATCATGGTAATTTATATAATTAGTTCAAATATTTTTACATATACAGAAATACTTATCAAAAGTGTAACTTATACATAATAATATACCTCTTACATAAATAATTTAACAATGTTTAGGTGATACAAATTATTAAGGGGCCTCGCAATGGCATTGATTTAAGGAGAATCATTTAGGCAATTTCTAATCTCGTCGTCGCCACCCGAGATCTATGTGTTAGTCGTAAATGATTATTAGTGTGTGTGGCATCCATGCGGGTCAATTGTAGCTCTCGCACGCACTCGCACACACATGTCAATATATAATAATATTGTGATCATGAAAAAATGCTTATTTTTCACTTAAACATACGATTCTAATTCCAACAGTACGTCGCAACGATTACCTCAATTTTCATTCTGACAAAATATTCTTATTTTCCACAACATGTACGAGGGATCGATCGAGGCACATTTTTAAAATTGTATTTAGTTAATTAAATATTTAAGTTGGAAATTCTGTA